TGCAGCGACTGCTGTGTATTCTCCCTCCTGGGCACCCCAGCGTGACGGGTCGCTGTCCCTGCATCCATCCCATCTGACCTGCAGCAGAGTTTCTGCCCATTCCCCGGACACAGCAGAAGTGACAGCAGCTGAGGAGGTGGTGTGTGCTCAGGGTGGGTGTTCTCTGATTCATAATGAATCAGCGACACCACAACTCCCCAACGCCGCCGCTTCCTCCAGCTCTCTCACTGCAGTCATCTGTCCAAAACCCGTTCATTCTTTTTTAAGACCACCCTTTTGCACAAAGCTTCATCTATCTGAAATGTTAACATTTCTTTTGGAAGAGAAGTGGGTGGTTTTTTCCCTTGCCCTAATCCCCAGCAGCATCACCCTTCCCGGGCAGCAGCTGGACACTGTCATTAAGGCAGGGCACAGGGGGACCCCGCAGACCCTGCCCCGAGTCCCAGCTGCCAGAGATCAGCTGTAACCTCAGCCTGAAGGACCCAGGCAGCCTCTCAGCCAAAGCAGTCCTTGCTTAGCACAAAGCAAACTAATTGCTGGGTCCTGCGTGTGCTGGAAATCTGGGCAAAATCATCAACATATGACTATAAAATCCATTTGATCCATCCACTGATTCCCCCCTCCTCCCAGAGCAGAGCATTATTTCCTAAAAATGAACACTGCCACCACTCCTTTCCTCTTTCGAGCTTCAGTTCTCTTTGCAGAGAGCACTGCAGGACGTGGTCAGTCGTTATCCTAGAGCACACACACTTTCCCAGGCTCACGCAACTCATGTTGAAATTACTTGACATTTTTTTCATCAAAGAGTGACTCAAGTTGTGAAAATATTTCCATACCCATTTTCTAGTAAAAAAAAACCATAATCTTTTTTGAGATCATGTGTGACTCAAATGTTAATTTTTTAACCTCGTTTTTTCCAAGAAAATATGGAAGGCAAGGAATATCCTAATTGCCAGCCAGGGTCATTCATGGTAATCTTTTTAATAAGGCATATTATTGCTTAATATCTCCAGTACAAAATCTTACCCTTCTTAACCACACTGTTGTTCTTGATAAACCATTTTTTTTTCCAGCTTAACAACTTGGATTGTATTAAAAAAAATTAAGACCATGTGCTGTCAGTGACATGCAAACAAGATCAATGGCCACTTTGAAAAGCAATCCTCCTGGCAGATGCAGATTTTGCACTATCTACACCTCCACTACAAATGAAACAAGCAAAGCCATTAAATCAACAACAGAAATAAAATAACCCAGTACTTACATTGACCTTCATTTTGTCGTCTCCTGCTTCCCTGTTACTCCATCACCTCAGGAGGAGGAGGAGGCTGCAATCTCCCCCAGCCCAGTTGAATAGATGAGGCAGGAGCAGTGGAGGGTCTGGCTGGGAGCCTGGAGAGCAAATGCCCAACCTCCTTCCACCTCCTGCTGCATTTGCTGGGAGCCCCAGAGGAGAGCAGCTATTAGGGATGAAGGGAGCTAATTACGTAGCAAAATTATCTGCAGGGTGCAATTGGCCTGCAGCTGCTGATGCTAATGAGGGCCTGGTGCAGGACACACAGATGTCCCTCCTGCAGAGACCCCCGGGGAAATGCCTTTTCTGCTTTCCAACTGCATCTTAACAGGAAAACCCAGGGCAGCCGGGATGAACCAGAAAGCCAGGATTGGATTTTAAAGCATTTTTGTGGCATCATTTTTTCCTCCTGTTTTTTTTGAACTTAAAAGCAGTTCGATATACTTTTGAAATTTTCACGTTCAGAAAACATTTTTGCAGCATCATTTTTTCCTCCTGTTTTTTTTTAACTTAAAAGCAGTTTGATATACTTTTGAAATTTTCATGTTCATGTCTCTAGAAAACTGAACCGATCTCATTTGTAATTACATAAATCACAGCAAAATAATCACACCCTTCAGAGGCAGAAAACACGAGGAGGAAAGCTAAACATTAATGGCAGCTGAAGGGCTTTGTTTCTTTGATTATTTAAAAAAGTTCTTTAATATTGTTAAATAACAGTGTTATTTAAAATCCTCCATAGTTGCTCTTTGCTCAGCAACAGCTCTGCCCAGGTTATGCTTATGCAAATACACAGGTTTTACTGCTTTGTACTTGTGAATATCTTAGGGTTTGCAAACTTTTACTGGTTGTGCTTTTGTATCTGCTGCCTTTTCTTTGGCAAAAGCCTTTTCCTTCCTCTTTCCACGGTAGCTTCAAGATGAAATTAGACACTCACTCCCAAACCCACAATCACGTAACTAGAAAAGCAATAGTCTTTAATAGAAAATGCTGAATTGAAAATGCTTTCTCAACAAAATCTACACCTCAGGGCTGGGGCTGGGAGCAGACAAGCAGTGACACCATTGTCCAAATGGGAAAGAATTCCTGGCACAAAGCAGCTCATTTGAATGCCTTCAGGGGTTTTCTTTTCTCTTTTTTTTTCTTTTTTTTTTTTTTTTTTTAAATATTACAACCAGCAGTTTTACTAATTTGAACACTCCTCACAGAAGATAAGGAACAGCCCGTCACTTACTGCCCTGGAATTATTCAGGTGCTACAAGCATTTGAAACCACCCAGAAATACAAGTAAGAAACCCACAACTTGTGGCCACGAAACTATTTTCAAATACAATTAAATGTTCTCTTGAACTAATCCCACACGGGCCCCTGCCATGCCGGGGCAGGAGGACCCTCCACAGACCATGGGTGACCCATGCTGGGACAGGGACCCCCCAAGGGACAGGGGCCATGGGTGTCCCATGCTGGGACAGGGAGGGAAGAGCGGAGAAAACCGGGCAATAATCACGGAGCAGCAGCAGCCAGAGACCTTTTCCCCATCCCCAACCTCCTGTGCCACCATCACCTCCTTGAAGGAACCGAGGTGGACCGGCCCCCGCACAAAAATAAGGCAGGTTGAGACTAGGAAGGGGGAGAAAAGGTGTTTCCTTAAGTGCTTGCTTAATTGTTTATGGTTTATTCTTTCTCAGTTGCCCAAATCAGTGACTAGAAGTTGGTGGTAACTGGCAATAAGTTACATGAGTTGAAAATTCTCAGGGTTGAGAATGTTTTGTCCGTGACAGAACTAAAGTTTTACCTCTGAGATTTCCCCAGGAACACGGGGCATCACATCCGCTTCCACCCGACTGCATCCCTGAGAACGGCCCCAAACTTAGTGTCTGAGGCCTGGGAAAATGGAGACTTCACCATTCTCACCAGAATTTCCTCTTGGCTGGCTGAGTAACTCCTTGCTCAATGTATTAGCTCTGGCAAATCCTATTTTGAGACACGTATTTGCTCCCAAACAGCGTTTGAGGTGGAGACCAGGGGTGGCAGTGGCACCCCAGAGCCACGGGGCTGTAGGTGCCCACCCCCGGGCTGCAGAGGAGCTCACAGAAGCACATCTCACTGTCCTTCACGCAGGTGTTTATGGACGAGATGGGAATAAGTAAACTGAGCATTTTGAAAGGATGGATAAAATTCAGATCAACTTAATGTGTGTTTAAAAAAAGCTCCTCTTTTTCCTTTGGCAGCAGCCCAGCAAATGTTGTCAAACGGTGCGAGAACGGTTTCCCAAGTGCAGCCTGTCACACCGAGTGTGTTTTACATTGCACCAAGAGGTGCAATGTTTCCTGTACAGGCTCTGTGGCAGGTGTGGATGCAACAAGAAAGCAGTAACATCAGTTCTCTGCCTGTGCTTACACGCTGGGTTCATTTTCAGAAACGGTTTTCCTGGTGAAGGTGGAAGAGCTGGGGCACAGCGGTGATTGCGGAGCGTTACCTGTCAGGGCAGAGCTACTCATGGTTGGCACATGGTGCTTCAAGAAGTCCAGGTAGTAGAAAAAATACATCTGTAGTATTTTCATATTAAGTATAACATTCAAACATTACAATAAACAGTATTGCTAGGGTAGTATGAACCTTATAAGCAGTTCAAAAATGATACTGCAGAAAGAAATTTGACTTTTTCAGTTGTTATTTCAGCTGAATTTGACAGGGTGTGCCATGGCCGTGTCCAAAGATCTCACAGCAGAAGAGGAAAGCAACTTGCTATCATTACAGTTCTTTAGCCATTGGCGATCCACTTAAGAAAACTGAAAAGATCATACCTAGAAATAGAAACTCTTCTCTGTGTAGAAATGAAAAATGTCATGCATCATTTTTTTCAAACATAAAAATTAGTCCTCTTATCTTTACGTGCCTCAACGGAAAATTTTGAGCGCAAAAAAATGACTCATTGAGCTAGTACTCAGCTTTGTTCCCCCACTACGTTGTATCAAATTTCCAGGAGGCAGTTTATTTACAGTAAACATTGAGATCATAATCCAGGATGAAATATAATAATTCCATTACGTTGCTTATGAGACTTGTAGAGTAGGACAGTCAAGGCACTGACCTCAATCAAGACTTCAGCATTCTCTAACCCTTACAGCTGCAGCAGGGTATTTTATCTATGTATCTATATAAAATTATACTAGATGCAATACAAATATACAAATAAATGTAAAAAACATTAAAAGCTAGTTCCAGTCATTCAAAAGAAACAAATATAGTGTTTCAAAATTCCTTCTGTTTTGCGTGTAACGTAGGGAAATTATCTCTCACCCAGCAGGTCCCTGGACTGTCACAGAAAGTCCCTGCAACACACCCATGTCTCTAATGGCACTACAGGATAGCAGTAAGTCAGGTGGAACCTTGAAGTTATATATTTATTGTTTCATAATTGTGTTTATTCACAGGTATTTCCTATTTAGCAATCCTGCTTTATTCAGAGTCCTCTCCAAGAAGACATTTTTTCCAGTTATTAGTTTTGTCACAACAAAAAGTGCAGGGAGACAGTAGGTACCTGAGCATCAGAGAGAGCCCTCCGTCCACCTCGGGACGAGAAGACCAAACGTATCCCACACCCCCGAGCATCAGCCTGAACTCAAACTCCATACCTACTCTAGGACCCTTTTATCTTAATTGTTAATATGCTGTATTAAAAAAAAAATAAACCCAGACATACCTTTGCAGTTCTGTTGGTTCTTGTGTTTTTATCCATGGCTGTCATCCAGCGGCGGCGTCACTTGGAGCAATAATTACGGCAGGCTAAAGAGAATTCAGCTTTGTGCAGTCACCGGGTGGTAGGAGCTACGTCTCAAGAAAGCACATCTGACAGCTCTACTCCTGAAGGCATTTAGGAATTTATAGAAAAAATTCTCATGAAAGACAATTTCTGTGACACCAGGTAAGATTAAAAACAGCAGAATGCAAACCAGAAAAGCCCTGTTAGCATCTAAAAGTGAGAAAAGAAGTCTGTCTGCGAGTGGAATTTTCCTTGATCTCTCTTGTCACCAACTTGTCGCAATTAACCGCAGTCAGAAGTGTTACCCTTCTGTTTTGCTGCATGTTCCTGTATTTCCTCTTTCAGCAGCGCAGTGAATACAAGAGCACTCCGCACCACCGGGCTGGTGACACGTCCCAGAGAAATAAAACTGCCACAAGCATCTCAATTTGGGATTTTGAAGCCAACATTTTTGGCACCTTCCAAACCCGTCTCAATGCTTATGGCACCGATGCCATTTTTTGTTATAAAGGGGCTTTGTGAAAACCTGAAGCATCACTGTCCCTCCCTGGGAGGGGGTGAGTGCTGGGCAAGACTCCTCCTGGCTGCAGCGAGGCTGAACCAGGAACACAAGCAGATGTGTGGGCTCCTGCCCTGCAGCACCCCGCTGCATTACACTGAAGGTGTCTGGAGGGTCCCTTACAGCCACCCAGAGAACTTCCTAACCTGAACTGCAGTTTCCTGAGCTGCTTTTCCTTTACTGCACTTCAGTTTTCCCTGGGTCATAGGGCAGCTCTGGTGGAAAGACAGCCGCCGTGTCCAGGGAATATTTCATAGAATCATAGAATGGTCTAGGTTGGAAGAGACCCTTGGGATCATCGAGTCCAACCATCTCCCCTACTCTACAAAGTCCTCCCCTACACCATGTCCCTTAGCACTGCATCTAAACGGCCCTTAAACACAGCCAGGGATGGGGACTCCACCCCCTCCCTGGGCAGCCTGTTCCAATGCCCGACCACTCTTTCAGTGAAAAATTCTTTCCTAATGTTCAGTCTAAACCTCCCCTGTTGGAGCTTGAAGCCGTTCCCTCTCGTTCTGTCACTAATTACCTGTGAGAAGAGACCAGCACCAACCTCTCTATAGTGTCCTTTCAAGTAGTTGTAGAGAGTGATGAGGTCTCCCCTCAGCCTCCTCTTCCTCACACTAAACAGTCCCAACTCCCTCAGCCGCTCCTCATACGATTTGTTTTCCAGCCCCCTCACCAGCTTCGTTGCCCTCCTCTGCACTCGCTCCAGCACCTCCAGATCTCTCTTTTATTGAGGTGCCCAAAACTATTTGTCCCTGACCGGTATCCCGATCTCTCTTGGATTGAGGTGCCCAAAACTATTTGTCCCGGACCGGTATCCGCTGTTAAGTAGAAAGTTTGGAATCTGTGTCAGTGGGTGGTGAACCAGCCTAGTTCCAGAAGTGGCCTTTTAGGAAAGACTTTCCCTAGAGCCAAGGAATGCTGAAGGCTGAAAGATATAAAACTGTAATTATGATTTTTCTCCAAAGGTCCTCTGTCTTCAGGTTGTCACGGCTCGTTGGCCCCAGGTGTTAGTTGTGGCATCACCTCCCCACGCTTCCACAATAGCATCTTCCGAGGAGAGGCAAGAGAAGGCTACATGCCAGAGGGATACAACGGACCTTCAGTGAGGTGCTGAAGACTTTCTTGAGGAGGTGATAAACCACAAGGATGACAGTTTCCCCGAGCAGAGCAGCTCGCTGGGACGTAGCTACCAAGACCTACCGACTGCAAAACTTGTGAAGGGCAAGCGACCGCGATGGGATTTTAATTGATGAAATGGAGATTCTAGGGGTGAAGCCCCTCTGACTGTGGCAGGAAACGTGATCGCACGAAGAATGTTTAACTAGATACTTCCAGACTTGCCCAGTGAGAGGAGGCATTCCCCTGCGGTCACATGCACAACAGGACACCTACTTGTGCACACAACCTGCTTCTTCAAGATGCTCCTGCAGCTCCTCCAGCCTGTACCTCCACACGGGCTGGCTCCGAACGCTGTGCAGCACCTCGCCCCCTCACTCTTGTCACCAGTCAACCACCACAACCACCAGAGTACTGCTGGGATGGGGCAGGGCTGAGCTCTTTCACTCCAGGGTTGTGTTACCTACCTAAATAGGATGAGTTAAGTTTCTTCTACCTAAATAGGATGAGTCAAGTTTCTTCCAGCCCTTATTTCTTAAACAGAAAAGTCCCAAACTTCTGGCCTCAAGCAAGAAAGAACCAACAGAAGGGTGCCCATGTCAGGACGTTTTTGCATTAACAGAATAAAAGTTAGAAGACCACAAAATTACGGAAGCTTGAGGTGAAAACACGCTGCTAACTTAGCAACCACAGCAGTGGTTTAATACAGAAAACATCGAAATAGTATTTCAAAAATAGAATTCACACACCTGTAGCAGATGTGTTTCTCACGGAGAGCTTCTTTAACAGCATTGAAAAAAATGCAACACTCCAAAAAACCTGCCACTGCTGTCAGTTCAGGGGCTGGGGCTGCTGTCAACGTGGGAGAAGAGCACACACTAATAAATGTGTCAGGACTTCCCTTTTCCCTCCCACCGACCTCTGGTTCTCATTGTTTTTCCACAAAAAAAAAGCACCAGAACTGCTATCTCATGTCCCCCATGATCAAGCTTTAGAAACTGGAAGGGAGGCAGAGTGGAGAGGATTGCTAAGGCTGAGAAACATTTTGCATGGCTGTAGCTTTTAAGAGGAAAATTAAATTTAATTGTCTACCTCTTTTAGAAACCCCACCCTACTTTCTACACTGTAAGTCTACAGTTATGTCCAATTCAGATGTAACACAACAAACTAATTTTTCAAGCTTTAACACGTCCCCAGTAGTCATTTCTCCTTTGTTATATAGAAAAGAAAACTAATACATTTCCTTCTTTATATATTAAATAACTTTTAAAAAGGTAATCTTTATTTAAATACAGACAAAACCTGTACCCTCATCAGCCCTTGACAAGACACTTCATCAGCAGTAATGGAAAGTTAACCCAGCAGTAAGAACAATCTTACATTTAAAAATCCTCACGAAAGCAAGTGCTGAACTTTTGAGTGAAGGAAGGCTCCCGAAGGAGCAGCCCCAGAGCACTGCACAAGGATGAATGAACACATTTAAAACTCTGCACAGGCAACTATCTGTAAAAACAGGTAGTGAATTTTGAGCACAGAGTTTCTAAGTGATCTGTATTTCTGTTGAATGGAATGAGGTCTGGGAAACTCGGACTATTCAAGATAATGGGGAGAAGAAACAGTGGGTCTGGGTTTTTGAATAATAAAAAGAATGTAATTCAAGTGCTGTGTAACAGACTTATAGGATGAAAATTTCTCAAGAAAATGAAGCAAAGTGACATTTCTGAGGTACATATACAGAAATTAATATGCACAACAGTTTCCTTCTTGAAGAGGACAATACAGGTCTCCATGGCAAAATTACTCTTATTTTCACATGCTGACACACTGTCACATTTACAGTTGCAACATGAATATTCCTTGAAAATACCATTAATTCACTTTGGGGTCCCACTTGTTAAGATAAATTCAAAAGACGATGAGATTTCAAGTCTGAGCTTTAATACCAGAATTAGAACACCATTTCTTGAATTCATCTAAACAATTTAAAATCCTGTTTCAGATTTTTATGGCACAAGACTGGCTCGGAATTGAAGGTCCACTTGGCCAATAAAAAAAAAAAATCCACCAAAAAAATACCCCAGACTAAAAGATACAAAACAGAGCTTTACAAAGAATCAATCAGAACTGAAGGCAGCTTAAGGCTTCATTAAAAGATTTGCCAAGTTCTGCTGTTACTTGTGTAATCCATTCTTTAAACAGACTTCGGTGGGATTGCACAGATACAATGCAGAGCAGAACTGGCTCACGCTGCCCAGTCCCAGCAAGACACAGTCACATTATCTTTCGCGGGATTTAGGAGGACAGGAGAACAAGTTTGATCCTTCCTGCAAGGATCATTTTATTCTCCTCGCCCCCCTCCTTGAGTACAATTAGAGATGACTTACAAAAAAATTAATGCCACACATGCTAATAAAAAAACTTAGCATGGGGCAAAACTTAGTCTCAATATTTTGACATTTTTCTGCCACATTTGACAGAATTTAAAAAACAGACACAGCACGGCTTTCATCTAGGCATCCGCTGGCAGTACAATCAATAGAAGATGATATAACCAATCTGGATAATCGCTGTTTTATAAAGCTGTCCTTAGTCTGTTGTTGACCTTCTGTACCAAAATCTAGCCCTGTAGTCATCACTGCAGGTCATGAAGCCAGGATTGGTTGGAGAATGGACGATACAACGGACAATGCTGTTGTGCCCCAGAGAAAGTAGATTTCTCCTTTCAGCAGTTCTTGAATCCCAGCAGCAGAGACTTATGGTCCTTTCATCTGGAAGCAGCACATAATCTTCTGTGTGGTTGAAGACAGCTTGTGTCCTGTGTACTTGTCGTCCACTCAAACCAGCTCCTAAATACATGCAGCAAAGAATTAACCCAAACAGGATCAGTTTTAGAAAGGTTCCAAAGACCTAATAATAAACATCTCGTAAGTATCAATTTCTGCAGTCTACAGAAAAGCCTTATCTTCTCAGTTAGTCTACCACTTCCATGTACAAGAGATCTATCAATAATGAGGGTTTTTTTGGTAGTTATATACGGAGCATATTCTAAAATTTCAGAGAGGACAGAAAGATTAAATACTCCCACTGTGTCAGTCAAGTTCAGCCACTCCATATGAGTGCAATCATTTAACTTTAAGAACACTTTTGCCTTATATTTTTGGTATGAGACTTACAGCTGTAACAAAGGGGAAAGACCACAGATAGCAGAATACAGAGATTCTCATTATCAGTTACAACTTTTGTTTTTAACATATGTATCATATGGCACATTGTATAACCTACCTGGTCATACCTTCCCTCCACAGCCTTCAAATAAAACGTGTTTCATACAGAGGCATTTAATGAGCACTGCACACACCTGCCTCCTACCTGGTAATTTGCAAAAGTTTATCAAGGAGGTGCTGCACCCTGCTGGCTGAGAGCAAAATAGTGTACAACAAAAGGGCCATACACAGCCCAAAAGCTGATAAGTAGAATTTTCAACATCCTCTCCTCTTTCACGCTACGACTCCTAAAGCTTAAGCGCATTTCTGCTTGACCCAAAAGCCTCCCCATCACACAGCTG